TCTTGGTTGATAAAAAGAGCAGAGCATTTCCCCACTGCATGCACAAGTGCAGTGAGAAGAGCACGTGCTTCCCATTACTGTCACCATCCATAAGGCTGGGAGCAGTGAGTGGGGGTCCCTCAAGACCAGCTGGTTTGCAATGTTCAAGACTGGAATAACATTAACACCGTTCATTATGAGCTAAGCTCATTTCAGCACATATTTTACATTTTTTATGTAGATTTCAGCAGGCAATTTTCCCTGAGCATGTAGCATATGAACTGGAAAAAAAATAAGTAATCAAAGCCCGCTGTAAAAAAAAAAAAAGCTTTAATTGCCTTTTCATTTAGCTACTTACACTAGCATCTTCCCAGATTAATTCGTTTCTGTAGTTCACAGTGCAAGCTTACACCTTCCTTCAGACAAAGCTGCACACACACTGACTTTTAAGTTTCAGTGTTTTGAAAATACATTATTTTAAAATCTTTTCCATCAAATTTGGCAGTAATGTCTAGAAACCTTGACATACTGGTAGATGAAATATTAAGGGGGCAGAAAAGAGTCACCCAGATGCTAGTGCTGCAGAAACAGACTTCAAGAAAGAGAAATGACCCACACATCAGGAATTAACTTTTTGGAAATCTGAGGAGTATGAACAATTGCTGCTAAAACCACCTGAGGTACTTTCAAGCTACTGAAGCCTGGCAATGGCTCTCTTCCATGAACACACTTCCCTGCTCCAGATTTCAAGATTAACATCAGACTTTGCTGAGATTTTAGGCTGCTTTTTGAATTAAAGCAAGTTAACTTTTTGAGACGCACTTAGTACTTTGGTCAATAAAGAGAAATGAACGTAGGAACATTTGGAGCAGGGTCACTCCCATCCCCTCCCCTTAATTGTATCATCTAAATCAATTTTACCTTATGATTCAAGATCTCGTTCATCCTTCTAGTAGCCTCTGTGGTATGAGACTCTGGGAAGTATTTCTTGGGAACAACACCATACTTTTCTAAAATAAAGTAATAAAGCTATGGGTTAACCATTGTCTTTTTGACACAGCAGATGCCAGTGCTTCTGCTTATACCCACATAAAAGTTAAATACATTTGGGTTTCATGCAGAGATTATATGGGAAAGTCTCTTATTTAAAGGTTAAAAGTATTCCAAGTTTACATTTTAATTTCTGACTGAATCTTGACCTCTGAACCACATTCCTCAGGGATCCCAAAAGGTGGAATCCCTAAACAGCTCAGTATCGTTTGATTCAACACGTTTAAAAGTTCCAAACTAATTAGTGCTTTTTAAGAAGCAGTTTTCACTAGGAAAAAAAAAATATTACCTGAAAATTAAGCTCCCGAAATATTTTTGTAAAAATGTGGGTCCCTTCTGAATTATTCCATGTATTTTATCTAAAGTGAAGTGAATTCAGCAACAGCTCAATTGCTTCCTACATTAGGGTACTAATCAAAGGTCACACCATGCAAAGCTCTGGATGTAACAGCAACATCCAAAATCTTCTCTGTCCTGATTAAATATTTTATAACAATTGGATGGAGAAAAAAAAAAAGTAACCTCCAGGCTTCAAAGAAACAAATTCCTTTTGTGATTCTAAACTTATATTGTTGGCTTGTTGGTTGACAAAGGTGTTCCATTGTTTCACAATACACATGAAAGCAAATGCTGGTGTAATTCAGACACAGAGAAGTATCTCCTTAATCAGTGTAAGGAAGATCCCATTTAAGCTGGATCTTTGCAAGACCAGCACAGCCACATTCCACATCATTTCCCTCTCGTTGATCTTTTATATCATCTTTCTCCAGGCTGCAACTGTGCAAGTAGTTTTGCTTCTGCTTTGTAGACACACCCTCCCCTCGCTGTGTTTTTTTCCTTACTATGTGCCCTAAAATCTGTATACATGGATATAAATAAACAATGCTGAATGGATGACTGAAGTTAAAAGGGGATTGAACCTTTTTACCAGATGGAAAGTCTGGGATATCTAATTACTTCTGTTGATCTTCTGAGCTTCTATCATCATCATCAATATGCAAAAGTGAAGATCCCAGAGAAGATTTAAGCCTGATATTTACAAAGTGGCATGAAAAAGGTCTTTGATTAAAAAAAAAAAAAAGCAGTGGCTAATGGCATCATGCTCCTTCAGAATCTCCCAAACAGCTCTCAAACTCAATTTCTTCTATTTCATTCCTCATCTCTCAAACCAGGCTGCAATGTCAGGAAGGGCTCCCAGAGACCAATTCTCTTACCAATGATGTTAACCAACATATCCCACTGTCCACCATCATTCGTGGGGTTGGAGAGCAGGAACTGGACCAGTCTTCCTTCCACAGGCTCCTTTTTCTGAGCTGTTTCCACAAAGGCATTTAAAAAGTAGTAACAACGTTCAACCTGGAATGGACAAACAGGAAAAAATAGGTATTTTAAGAGTGCCACGTGCATTAATTCATGCCTGAGTATTTAGTTCTTTGGAAGTCCTAACGAGATGAAGCTATCTTCTGCTTATCTACTGAAGTTCTTATTTTCCCTCTAGCATTCCAGGGCTTATCCTATAAACTTATTTCTTTCACAGACCAAATATTAAGGGGGAGTTAGCACAAAGCTTGAGGGTAGGGGAACAGGAAATGTGAAACAGAAGTTATGCAACGAAGCCTGGCCTCAACTCGTACTAGATTTTCTCCATTTCCCTTAAGGGAAAGAAGCTGGCACGCAGCTCCCCGATCAGTAGGTCACAAACATGACTGAAGCCTCAGCAAAAAGTTAGTCACCTTTTCCCTCAGCTTCCTACAAGTGGCTTTTGAAATACACCACCTGAAAGAAAGCTTTTACCATTCCAAAACATTAACATCTCAATGACTTTCTCCTCAAGCCGAAAGCCTCGCTTTGCTTGACCTGCATTTAAGATACATATTTAAAGAACTTTTGAAGTTTCTTCTCACATATGTTTTCTACCTGGATTGTTAAGATAGTCCAGCCAAAAGAAATTCTGTCTAATGCTAATACCCAGGTGCACAGGCTGCCCCAGCACAACCCACGATCTCTACCTTATCCCAGAAAAAGAGGTAGGACTGGCTGAATTCAAACTCTTCGATGTTGTATTTCTTCATGAAAGGAAGACGCATTGCATTGAGACAGGAAAAGATCCAACATCTCCCTGAGAGATCAAAGGAACAAGAATTAAACTGGAACGTTTAAGAGCTGCAGAAGGATTTTTTTAGTTAAACACTAGAGCCATGACACCATTCCGCCTCAAGCCTTTGGTTCTGGCTGGGATTGTAAAAATATCAAAAAAAGCTCAGAAATCTTTTATTGCAAACGCAGGTCTCCGAACTGATTTTATCTTATGGCACAGAGAAGGGGAAACAGGGAAACGCTGCAATTCTAAAGAGTGCCATTAACTCCAGAGGATGCTGCAGGGATTCAGCTCTGCTCAGAGCCCAGGGGAGAGGCCAGAGGCCGCCATGGCTCCCGCAGCGCCGTCAGCGTGACATCACTGTCTCCCCCAAGGCCCTCACCCCTCCTCACCGACACCACAGCCCCTTACCGGAGTTCTTCTGGTTGGTGACGGGTTTGCCCTCGGCGGGCACGGCGTGCTGGAAGACCTGCACGGTGTCCTGCACCACCTGCCTCTGCAGGCACACCTCCAGCGGGTCATTGCAGGTCGCCACATTCTGGGCCAGCAGGAACCGGGGCTCGGCTCGCAGCCGCCGGCTGAAGGCGGCCGCCTTCTCCGTGCTTAGCCCTGGGGAAGGGGGGGGGCAAGGGGCAACCGTCACCGCCGGTGTCCCCCCACCCCCACCCCCGGTAATCCCCTCCCTCCCCTG